GCCGGGAGGAGGCTTCGGTGCAACTTTCTTCGGTCGTCCCGAATCCGGGTTCATCCGACACCAGCCGCCTCCACCATGCCGCCGAAGTTCGACCCCAACGAGATCAAAGTCGGTGCGTGCTCTTGCTGTGGCTGGGGGGGGGGGGGCGGGCCCCTGTCACCCCCCCGGGCCCCGTTGCCTTGCCGGTGACAGGCTTTAGAGCTGCCGCCTGCTAGAGGCCGTTGCGCTGCTGTGCCTTCGTGGCCGAGGCTTAGCCTTTCTGGGCCTCAGCTTCCTCACGTGTAGTGGGGAGGGAGGACCGGACGACCTGCGGTGGCCTTGCAGCCCGCACGCCTTAGGGTAAGGCCCGTCTCGGCGTTTTGCTCCCCTCGCCTGCTGAGCCGGCGGCTGGGCTGCCTCCGCGCTTGCCCGCCGCGGGATCGGAGCCTCGGCGCCCCAGGGAGGAGCGGGTGGCGGGCCGCGTTGCCCGCCGATCCTCGTACTCCCAGGCAGTTTAGAAAGCTAATGGGGAAACATGAAAACCTGACTTTATTTTGGTGCGAAATGTTTTGAAACTCGTGCAGTTTTTTCCATAATAGGCATTTTCCGCGAACTTTTTAAGGACACGTGTTTGGAGACGAGGCAGAGGGTAGTTTAACCAGAAGGGGAGAGGGTGGGGGACTCGAGGCTTCCTCTGCAGAGGCACTGAACCTTCCTTTCTCTCAGTGTACCTGAGGTGCACCGGTGGCGAAGTTGGTGCCACGTCTGCCCTGGCCCCTAAGATCGGCCCCCTGGGTCTGGTGAGTCTCCTTGCCCCTGGGCGGTTCTTTACTAACGTGAGTTAAGTTCGGGCTTAAGTAAACGGACCTGTGCCAAAGATACGGTACTTTTGTCACCCCCTGCGCCGCCGATCTAGCCAAGGGCTTAGGAAGGTCACAGGTGGGAAATCTGGCACCTTGAAGCTGTAACGTGTCCCCCACGGGTCTTGGGGTTCCTGGAGGAAGGGCCCAGGAGTGATGGGGTGCAGCATTGTTGGGAGGATTAACGGGCTGATGGGTGCGGAGCGGTAGTTTGAGTTTCCAACTCTAAGGGTAGATGTAAGCCTGAGTGGCCCATAGGGCCAGCTGTCATCCGAGGTCCCCAGCAGCGACTGCGGGCTTCAGTGTTTCCCACCCATTACCCAAGGGCCTCTGTCCCACACAGAGTTTTTAAACCAGCAAATGCTGAGGCCGCCAACCCCACAGATGGGCTTGATTGGTCCCATGTGGGAACCTAGTACCTGAAGGGCTGCCCAGATGATTGTCACCATGGTTGAAAACCCCTATATACATAGCAGTTAAGCCCTGAGAGGGTCTGAAAGGATTGGATAGGCCCATTGTGGCCACAGCTTAGAACCGGGACAAGACTTAACCTCCAGCCTCATCTTCCCAATTAGTGCTGTGTCGGTAGTCAGGGAGGTGCCCCAGACAGCTTCCTGTGTCCTCAGTGTTGCCAAGTGAGAAATCCTAGGCAGGTTTTAAGGCTGTGGTTCAACTTTGGTCACAAAGTAATGACATTCTTCTATTTCTGCAGTCTCCAAAAAAAGTTGGTGATGACATCGCCAAGGCAACCGGTGACTGGAAGGGCCTGAGGATTACCGTGAAGCTGACCATTCAGAATAGACAGGCCCAGGTAATAGAGTGTTTGGTCTGGGGGCCAGCAAGAGGCATGGTGGGTGAGGCACAGGACTCTCACGTGGCTGACTGTAGATTGAGTCCTAGACCTGATGGCTTGCTTTCTCACTTTCTCTCACTGTCTCTCTAGTCAAATTAAAAAATATAATAATAGCAACAAATCTTTAATAATGAATGCTTAGTTTAAGGGAGGGCAAGAGTAGCAACTTCTGGGGTTCCTTCCGGGGCAGGTTTTCCCCACCAGTAGGGAACTGAGAGCAGTTTTAGCTTTGTGAGGTAAAACGAGGGAGCGTGGGCACCTAGGACGAAGACGTGGGTTCACATATGTGTGGCATTAGGCAAATGATGACTTAATGTCCCTCCCCCTGTCCCAACTAAACGTACTTTCAGATTAAAAATTGCTTGAATGTGGCCCATGGTTTCTGAGTGGATATGCGTGGCAGTGTTTGCTGGAGGTGGGGGTAGGGCTTAATCTGAGTCTCTTCTGCAGATTGAAGTGGTGCCTTCTGCCTCTGCGCTCATCATCAAAGCCCTCAAGGAACCGCCAAGAGACAGGAAGAAGCAGAAGAATAGTGAGTTGCCTTTTCTTGTGGTTCATGGTTGGATAATGTGCCTGGCGTTTGGTACAGGGCTGCATGTCTTCCCTTTAATGAAGCCTGCTGGTGATGTGAGGGTTGTGGGGTGATTTGGTGAAGGCTATTAGAGCCAGGTACTGCCAGAAAGTGCTGTATGTTTCTGTAGCCTGTGTGGGGCAGGTCCCACCAAGGCTTCAGTGGGAGAGCAGTGTTAGGCAGGGAGGCAGCCAAGAACAGTGGGCTGTAAGCAGGACCGCACTCAGTGCTGGCTAAAGACTGGGTAGCTTGACTCCAAGAATTGCTTCTTGGCTCTCCACTGTCAGACTAGGGAAGGTGGGGTTTCGCCCTCAGCCACCCGCCACTGCACCTGCCAGCTGTGTTGGCTGGTGCAATCCAGTGGTGCGCTGATAGTAACCCCAGCTTAGGAAACAGGGTTGTTCTTCATGTGGATGACTCTGTGCCGAAAGCGTGGGAACAGCCTGGAACCAGGGAGGGAGGGCTTCATGCCATCTGCCCCGGCCTCAGGTTGTGGCAGATTTTGATTTTTTTTTTTTCCTTTTCTGCAGTTAAACATAGTGGAAACATCACTTTTGACGAGATTGTCAGCATTGCCCGACAGATGAGGCACCGGTCTTTGGCCAGAGAACTCTCTGGTAGGATTACAACAGTGTGACCACTGTAACTATAATTGAGGTGCTTTTGCTGAATGGCTGGCTCTTTCCACTTTGAAGGAGACTTCACGAGACTGAGGACTGGGGTGCAGCCTGCATGGATGGGTTTGAAAGAATGGCTTGAGATCTCGATCTGGGAGGTGTGGAGGGTTTGCCTAACTGGAGCCCTGTATGTCCTGGATTAAAGCAGGGATACCATTCCTTCTCTTGCCTGCTGAGAAACTAGGCGGTATACCCCTGTCTCAGTTTTGAGACTTGAGCCCTAATGCCACTTTTTCTTTATAGGAACCATCAAAGAGATCCTGGGGACAGCCCAGTCTGTAGGCTGCAATGTGGATGGCCGCCACCCTCATGACATCATCGATGACATCAACAGTGGTGCAGTGGAATGCCCAGCTGTAAGTGACTTCTTAGTTTTGTGTGTGATAGGGAAAAAGCTGGAGGGGCGGCAGCAAGTGTATTCAGAGATGAGCTCTGAAGCTGCAGAAATGGCAATGGTGGGATTCTTTAAAAATTCCCTTTTACTGACAGCTATTTTTTCCTTTGCAGAGTTAAGAAGTACACAAGAAAACAACTCAATAAAGGATCATGTGACAACCAGAGTTTTTTGGTGTGGCCTCTTCTTAAGGGACTTGATTCCTGTATTGGGGTAGTCAGTGGGCCAGGTGGGGAGAAGTAATGGTCTGAGAGGCGCCTTTGAGGGCAGCAAGTTCAGCCCTGGATGAACCAGCACAGAAAAGACAACTGGAAAAGGAGGTGCTATCTCTAGACACACAGATGCCCTTAACTACCACACCACCTGCTGGCCCTAGGCCCCAGATTCTTTTTTTTTTTTTTTTTTTTTTTGGTTTTTTCTTTATGGTGTGTGT